ACTTAAAGTGGATGGATTGCAATATGGATCCTAAGAACTCTGTTGCTGAACATTTGCGTGTCATGAGTGCCATGATACGTGACCTAAAAGCTGTGGGACGAGATGTATCTGATGAGAAGAAAGTTCTAAATGCGGTTCGTTCACTTCCAAATGATTCTGAGAATTGGAAGAACTTCAAGCTCCTCATGGCTCATAGCGAGAATGTAAAAACTTTTCCAGAACTCGCCAAACATATTGAAATAGAAGTAGAACATCAGAGAATGTTCGCACCTTCCAATGTTGCGTTTGTTGCCCAGGGTGGTTAAACCAAGGGAATTAAGCACAAACGAGCCAAGAAATTTCCCCGTCCTCAAAATTCTGGACCAAATGGTGGTTTCAAGAAACAACTTATGGCACATGGCCAAAAAGAGAAGAAAATAGCGCGTGTGAAGTGTTATAATTGTGGACAGAAAGGTCATTTCACTCGTGATTGCGCTGAGCCGAAAAGGGTACCTTCTACCACTAACTCTTTTGAACTATTTGTTTGTTCTCATGCATTAGTTGCTAATTCTATTCCTAATTGAATTATAGATACGGGAGCAAGCAAGCACATAGTTCATGAAAGATCAAGATTTTTGGAATTCCACCGATTTTCTATTGGCACTTAAACTGTCATGTTAGGAAATGGGAGCGAGGAAGATGTCCTTGGGGTTGGAACATACCAACTCAAACTCCATGGTGAAAATATACTACTCCTGCATGATACTCTCTATGCACCCCGGTGCGAAGTTGTTCACTTTTAGTTGTTTCCTTGTTAAAACTTGGTTTTTCCTTTAACTTCAATACTAGTGGTTTGGGCATTTTATATCATGACAATTTATTTGGACGTGGTATTTTAAACAATGGTTTTTTTGTTCTTGACTTGGATGAAAGTTATAATGACTCATCACATGCTTTTACTTCATTTTATAATATTGATTCTGAATCTGTTAAATGGCATGCACGACTTGGTCATATTGGTCATGATAGAATGTCCAGGCTAGCTAAAGAGGGACATTTGGGACAATTGACTAAGGTTAAATTGCCTAAATGCGAACCTTGTCTAGCCGAAAAAGCTACTAAAAAGCCTTTTGGTAAGACATCAAGAGCATTAAATCCTTTAGAGCTGATTCATTTTGATATTTGTGGGCCTTTAAATATAAAAGCTCGTCATGGGGCTACATATTTTATTACATTTATAGATGACTATTCACGTTTGGGTATGTGTACTTATTATCTCATCGACATGAAGCACTTGATACGTTCAAACGTTTCGTGGCCAAAGTTGAAAACCAAAAGGAACAAAGAATTAAGACTCTTCGTACCTATTATCCCGAGAATTTTCTTAGCTTCCTCCAAGTCTTTCATCTCAAACTCTTGATTCATCTGAGCCTTCAAATGATCAATCTCCACTTGTCTCTTTGATGTAACCAACATGTCATCCACATACAAGAGTAAGTAATGAAAGATCCATCTTGCAGCTTGCGTAGATACACACAATGATCATGTCTGCTTCGCGTGTACTTCTGCCCAATCATAAACTTATCAAACCGTTTGTACCACTGTCTCAGAGATTGCTTCAGTCCGTACAATGATTTGTTCAACTTACAGACCCAATTCTCTTTTCCAAGAACTTTGAATCCTTCTGGCAGAGTCATGTAGATTTCCTCGTCTAAATCTCCGTGTTAGAACGTTGTCTTCACGTCAAGTTGGCTAGCTCTAAATCCAACTGTGCTGCTAAGGCCATCAAAATTATATTGGAAGAGTGCTTAACAACTGGAGAAAACACTTCATTATAATCAACTCTTTTCTTCTGAGCGTAGCCTTTAGCCACCAATCTTTCCTTATAGCGCACATCATTCTTATGAGAAATCCATCTTTCTTTGCCAATACCCACTTGCATCCTATCGCCCTCTTTCCTTTTGGTAGTTGCGTCACCTTCCATGTTTGATTCTTCTGAAGAGACAACATTTCTTCCTCTATAGCTCCTTTTCACTTCTAATTTTCTAAACTCCGAATTGCATCTTGAGAAGTGAAAGGTATGTCATCATCAACAATTGGAAGTGCATAAGCCACCATATCCACCAAGCGAGCATGTTGTTGAATCTCTTGTATGGGCTTTCTCAATGCAATGGGTAACTCTAATAATTCTTGAGTCTGTACTTCATCATCCGACGAATCCTTTGATATTGGTTCGTCGATCATAGCTGGTTGTCTCGTCATCGCATCTATCTCCACCTATTTCGGTGTCAACTCCACCTGTTGAGTTTGCGTCGTCTTTATCATGCCTTGTTCATCAAATGTAACATCCTTGCTAAACACAGTTTTGTTCGTCTCAAGACACAAAAGACGATATCCCTTCACACCAATTGTGATTCCCATGAACAAAGCCTTTTTCGCTTTTTGTTCTAACTTTGAATCTTTCACATGATAGTACGTAGGACACCCAAAGACATGCAAAGATCCATAGTCAGCAAGAGGTTCCCCGACCATACCTCCAACGGTATTTTACCATCTTTTGCAGATGACGACAATCGATTTATGAGGTGTTGCGCGTATGTTACTGCCTCAGTCCAATACTCCTTGCCCAAACCAACATTGGACAACATACATTGAACTTTCCTCACCAATGTCCGATTCATGCACTCCGCCACCCCATTTTGTTGTGGTGTCCGTCTAACGGTGAAGTGCCTAACAATGCCATTTTTACGGCAAACTTCTTGAAAGGGATCACTTGTACATTCTCCACCATTGTCCATTCGTAGGACATTGATCTTCCTTCCAGTTTGATTCTCAATTTGTGTCTTCCATGTAATGAAGACACCAAACACTTCATCCTTTGTCTTCATAGTGTACAACCAAACACGTCTGGAAAAGTCATCGATGAAAGTGACAAAATAACGTCTTCCGCCTAATGATGGGGTCTTAGAAGGTCCCCAAACATCCGAGTGAACATAATCCAGGACACCTTTGGTATTATGGATAGCCGTTCCAAACTTCACTCTCTTCTTCTTTCCCCGAACACAATGCTCACAAAAGTTTAATTTGCACACTTTGACATCTTTCAACAATTCTTGTTTTGCCAATGTCTGCAAGGATTTTTTACCAGCATGTCCCAACCGCATATGCCACAACTTGACTGCTTCAGACTCCTTGTTGGTGGAATCTGCTACTATTGTTTTCCCAATGACTGTATCACCTTCATGGTAATACAAATTATTCCTCCTAATGCCTTTCATCACCACGAGCGAGCCGGATGTAGCCTTCATAACTCCATCGCGAAAAGTCACTACCAAACCTTTGGATTCCAAGGCTCCTAATGAGATGAGATTTTTCTTCAAGCTCGGCACGTACCGAACATCCGCCAAAACTCTGGTGGATCCATCGCGATTCTTCAGACGGATTGAACCAATCCCGGTTATCTTACAAGCATTATCATTACCCATATAAACAACCCCTCCATTCATCTCTTGAAAATTGAAGAACCACTCCCTTATGGAAGACATATGGTAGGTGCATCTGGAATCCAAAATCCATTCGTCTGGATGAGATGATGAAGGTGAAACCACAAGTGAAAATTCTGAGTCTTCACTTCCACCCTCGGCAACATATGCATCTTGAGGAGATTTGACTTTCTTCTTCAACTTAGGACACTCATTATTCTAGTGTCCCTTCTCATAGCAGAAAGCACACTTGTCTTTTTCAAGCTTGGCATTGGAAAGTGATCTTCCTTGTCTATTCTTCTTTTGGCTCTTCGACCGACCTCTTGCAACCAATGCTTCATCTTCTGCTGCTGCATTCTTCGTCTCTTGTTTGTTCTTCTTCCTCAACTCGTAGCTATACAGAGCAGAACTGACCACTGCAAGAGTTACATCGTCCTTCCCATGGAGCAGTGTAGTCTCCAAGTGCTCGAAGTCATCTAGAAATGACGATAACAACATTAGAGCCAAATCTTCATCACTGAATGTGACGTCCAAGTTATCTGTAACCAATGGATTGAATGCAGTGACATGGTCATTCATCGATGTGCCATGCCGGTACTCAAATCGGAATAATCTCTTCTTCATGAGGAGCTTATTCTGGCCACTTTTCTTTAGAAATTTGTCTTCCAAAGCCTTCCACAGTGTGTGAGCAGAGTTCGCATTCTTGAACGCATACTTTTGCTCCCTCGACAAACACGAACGGATTGTTCCACATGCTAAGTGGTTGATATTCTTCCAGTCCTTCTCTTCAACGTCGGTTGGCTTCTCTTCTTCAATTGCAATGTCGACGCCTTGCTGAAATAGATAATCCAGCACCTCGCCTTGCCACATGCTGAAATGCTCGGTCCCATCGAAGATCTCCACCGGGAGTCTGACGTTTGGCATCACCGTCCTTGCCGGAATGAATGCAGAGGATGATGCGCCCTTCACCTCCTTGGACATCTTGAACTCGAATGCAATGCTCGCCTCTCCGAATAAGCCTAGGGCAAACCTGGCTCTGATACCACTTGTTGGGGTAGAGCACCAAGCGTAGNCTCTAACAAATATGACAAGCACTACTACTAACGAAAATAAGCCAACACAAATAAATAAAAGACGAGAAATAAAAAGAATACGAAAATTTATAACGGAGTTCGGCAAATATTGCCTACGTCTCCGGGCACTGTCAACTGCAACTCCAAATTTACCAAACTCACCAAAAAATACAACTAGGGTTAAATAACCCACAAATTAGGATTTCCTTAATTAAGGATTTCATTCTAAGATAGGAGAGAATAGAGTAAGCTGCAATTGTAACCCAAAGGCAAGGGACCTATTTATACTAATAAGATCCTATACATCTTTGGTATACATCCGATGTGGGACGACAAATTAATAAAAAACTAACAGACCCATCTCTGCTTAGTGCTTTAGAGTCAGTTCCATTCATGAAAATCAAAGATAGCTTATATTTATTTGAGCATTACTTTGTTAAGAAAAAAATACACAGATTGACGAGACCCGGAGCGAATTCCACAACAGTCATTTAGGGCGAAGCAGAGGTCCTACAGTGCACTGAAGCGGAGGCCCGTCTCGAGCCCGAAGAAGAGAGTGTCGTTGGATGAGATAATGGCTTCAAGAGCTTGTTTTAGGACGAAGAGGTCTTATTCTCAAGTTGAAGAGGGTTTTGAATCTTATGTTTTTATCGTGTTTGAAAATGGTTGAGCTAACATGAAAAAACTCATTTGTGGCTTTGTTCTGAAAATGGTTATTATGTTGCCAATTGATAGCAAGAAGAGTATTAGATATGTAGGTAAAAGGATAATTTTGTAGTTTATTTCTTTACTAATTAGCAACATATGTTGTAGTTGTCATTTGCTTTGTTTAGCAACTTTAGACCATTAGTATAAAGGGAAAAAAAATTTAACCCCCCAAAGTATGCCATTTTTTAGAGTTTTCCATACAAAATTTTTTTCTGACAATTTGCCTCCCAATGTAATCGAAACTGACAATTCGCCTCCTCGATTGAAGACCTTAATATGGAACAACAGAGTTTTTGACTCAATTAATGATGATTTTTAAATTAATCTTTAAAATTGATTTAGGGCTTTTAGAGCCCATGGCGAGACGAACAATATGAGGTATGGTTTGTCCATTTCTGAAAATTGATACCTCTAAAATCGATCCACGAAGATAGCAGGAGCACCTATGTATAGAAAAAATTTCAATTCAAGTTTTCTGATAATCAAGATATCCGATTTTTGCTTGGGAGGTGTCAATTGAAAGCCTGGAGGACGAGTTTTCTATCGAAGTAAATCTTACAAAAATCCAACGGTCGGATTCTGGTTAGTAGCTTAAAAAAATCTAACTATTGATCAGTAGTTTTCTAAATACTGATCAAAATTCGACTGTTGGATTTTTATAAGCTTTACGTGTTACAAAATTGGTCCTACTAGCTTTCAAATGACACCTCCCAATCGAAAATCGCATATCTTGATTATTAGAAAACTTGAATTGAAATTTTTTCTATACACACGTGCTCCTACTATCTTTGGGGATCGATTATAGAGGTATCAATTTTCAGTATTCGACAAATCATACATCATTTTGTTTGTCTCGCCATGGGCTTTAAAAGCCTTAAATCAATTCTAAAGATTAATTTAAAATTTATCATTAATTGAGTTAAAAACACTTTTGTGCCATATTAGGGTTTTCAATCGAGGAGGTAAATTATCAGTTTCGATTACATTGGGAGGAAAATTGTCAAAAAAAAAAAAGTTTATATAGCAAACTCTAAAAAATATCATACTTTGGGAGGTTAAAATTTTTTTTT